ATCTCATGACCTGCCCCGGCAGGGAGGACAGCAGCCCAGAGTGCGCACACTCAGACACACACACAGAGCAGGCAAATACACACGCACACATGTGTATATGTGTATTTAACTGGCACACACACAGTAATATGTGCACAGTTTTACATTAAACAGAGCATGACTGCTGCAGTCCATGTTAAAACACTAATCCACACAGTGATTTTCTGCTTGGATTTGATGTCTTATATTTGGCTGTTTACATTACTTATTTATTACTTACTTTACCTAAATTTGGCCCATATCAGATTCCATTGTGAAGCTGCATGACAAATGTCAGTCTAGAGTGACGGAAAATTGAATTGACACAACATGAATTGTGATGACTGTTCACGCTGAGGTCACATTGCCAAAAATCTTACCTTTATCTGATTTGGACCACATTTGAAAGCTGGCCAAATAAGTATTGGTAAGATCAGATTCCATGGGATTTAGGTCACTTTGGCCTGCAGCATTTTGGATGTTAGATTACCTGTTGTGCTAAGCTGTATGTTGGTAGACAGAACTACCTCTGAGCAATTTTAAAAAAGTGAACTCCTTACATAACGCTGTAAGAAGCAAAGCAAACAGAAACTAAAAAAATCTGTAGTGGTAATTTCCTCACAGATTATAAAAACAGCAAAGACGGAAAATGTATGCAGGCATCAGTGTTTTAAATTATGTGGGGAGAGAATGACTTTTGAAAATGTTCATTTTATTTAACTGTAAATGTAGAAGTCTAGAGTCTGTCTTTACATTCAGTACAGTACACAATAAGAATACTTACATAGTATTTACTTATCTTACATAAACTATCCTTATAAAAGATGCTCTGTTAAGTGAAAGAGCTGTTTCTGCTGACTGACTCTCTCGTGTTCATACATCTCACTGCCCAGTGGAGCACAGCAGTGCAAAAAATGCTTGGCCTACTTTACATGAAAACCATAAACCTCTGCTCCTCTCTTTGATAGAGTCAGACCATGAGTCATTAGAGGAGCTGTCACTCTCTCTCTTATCCCCCTCTGTCCAGCTGAGGCTCAGCCGTTGTCCTGTGGCGGTGGATTTTACTAGTCTGGGTCTGACTGAGGTTACAGGCTGATCTTTTTTCATTCATGTGATTGAATTGTGCTCTGTGCATGTATGTGTGTATGCTTTTTGCAAGGTTATATGGGTGATTATTATATAAATTTGAATATAGCAGCAAACAACTATGTAAAGATACAGTGGAGTCATGGTGTCTCACTCCCTCTGCCTGTGTTGTTATCGCAGCCTCTTTGTGGTTTGTTCACATAGCCGGTCTGCTCCGTGTGCAGCTGAGTAGCGATATTACAATGTTGTTAGAAGTTGGGGTTTATTGTAACAAAACCAGAGTTGATGATTGTTAGAAACACTGCCAAAAGACTAACAAAAAAGGTTTTTTATTTTATATCTGTCCCATTGTTTTGGTTTGAGATACTGGTGCTCTGGTGTGCCATCCAGTGCAAAGTGGTATCGTTTCTCAAATATGAGATGCTTTTACAGTAATGAGGAACTGCAGCAGTAGAAAATAGACTCTCTTCACACACAAACATAAACACACACACATTGCGCAGAGCTGATGTTGTTTTTGAGTGGTTGCTCCTCAAGGTCCAGGGTAAGGGGGGTTTCCTATTGCCTCTCAGGAAGAAGGCGTCAGCACAAGAAGACAATCAGAGGATGTCTGATGACAGGATCTGCTGATAACAGGGCACTCTCTCACACACACATTATTCCAATGAATATCATTATCACCTTCTCAAACATATACTGCTGACAAACAGGCACGGGGCCGTAACACTAAATGCGAGGGCTAACGCACTACACAAATAAGCGTCATTATCCTTCTACAGAATGTGTTCACTCGTGTGTTTGTGCGTTACAGTAATAAGCATGTCTTTTCGTTGTCACCATAAGTCTAAGCATGCTTGGTCTTGACCTACAGACAGCAGGGTATTGGCAGATAATCTCATTAGTCAACAGGCAACAAAAACCTCGCTGTAAAACACTGGGTTCAACAATTTATGCAAAAAACCTTAGCAGTGCACTAAATACAGGATGCTAGTATTATCCAGAATGTGTTACTATTACATTACATAAAGTTATAGAGTTACAATAATGTCTGAAAAGCAAACAAACACACCTTATATCAGCCAAAAAACACCAGTGGAAGTAAAGAATAATCTGCTCATTGCTAGAAAGACCCAAACCCTGTCACCCTGTCAGACTGTTAAAAATGATTACATAACAAATGTTATTTCCAGCCAATTACTGAGCGGAAATCTTTCTTTTAATGGTAGAACAGGGAGGTGTTCTCTATTCATAATTCAGATGAAAGAACTGACGAATAATTTGACGTCTTCTTTCTGCCCACTGTGATTCTATTTTGAGCTTTTCCCCCATAAATTCTGTCATTATTCGCACTCTAAGGAATGCAACTGCTTGGATTTCAGCCTCACCTTAGCAGCGGTTATGCTACCAGAATGTTCCCATAATCCTTTGGGGCTTTGACCTCTGATCCATGAAGTACTCAAATAACCCTGACAGACTGCCTCTTTTCCTCTTTTGTCTGATAAACTGTGAGTCAGGAACTAAACAGGTCACAGTCTCACAAACACCAGAATGATATAATGCCAGGTATAGGCTTCCTTGTATGAACTGTATTCAGGGGAATGAAATAAATAATAAGAAAATATGAGTTTAACAAAATAATCTTAAGTCCCTTTGCTGCTGAGATAGAACCAACTTTTACTTGGATCAGAACAGCAAACTGTTTTCATCAAGTCCCATATTTCAGTAATCTCCCAAAATTTCTCTTCTTTAGGAATCTTTAGGCAAGAGACCAAAATTTTAGCATCAGAAGAATTCTGGTATTTGTTTGTAGTCGGAGTTGTATTGACCAATTACGTTTGAGCGTAATTGGTTGCATGCAGGTCTGTGTGGAGAGAAAAAGAGGCAGAACCCATTTGCCAAAATATGTCCTCGGCTATCATCCGAAAAAATTATCACCATTTATAGATGCATTTATAGAAATGACATAAATGATGTCTTTGTCTTCATTCTCATGTATAAAGTTGCTAATTGGATTGCAGAGGTCTTTGCCAGGATATCCGTTCTCCATTTTCCGGTTATCCGCTGGCTAGTATTTGTGCTCCTCGTCATGGCATTATGTGACAGTGAAATGTCTGGGCAACTGAACACATATTTGGTCCATTTCTACAGTCTCAGGGGATGCTTTCTACTTGTTTCCACTCATGGGCATTCATTTCCTCTGTAGCAGCAACACTTACAACTAACTTGAATTTAGATGACAAAAGCTAATGATAACACATATTCTTCAGAGGGGAAAATGGAACATAAAATGGAAAATGTTTTTACATTCCTTTTTAAGTGATAATCATATATTATTTGTGTGTGTTCACTGCAGCCCCAAGCACACAAAAGCATCTGTACCACTTGTACAACATGTAGTCTGTACAAGTATTGTGGCTTTCTGGGGACTTATGGTATTAGGTTTTTCAGAAAATATTGCGGATGCACCAGGTTTGGAATAGGATATAGGATAGGAAATACTTTTAATGTCCACGTAGGGAGATTTGCTTTGGACTTTGTCCTGCAGTTCCACACAAGATAAAAAAACAGACATACTGTATTGTAAAAGAACAACATGTCAACAACACACAGCTTCCATGCAACACTTTGCACATACACATCTTCTGACAATGGTGACATACTGAACAACGTGTCTAAGTTGAGAATCTTAGCCTGCTCTAGGGAACCCTGAATCTTCTACCAGAGCTGGAACTCTGGGTGGAGAATAGAACATATTAAAGCACCAAACTGGAAGGGCAGAGCAGGAGGAGTAAACCGATGTTCAACTTTGGTGACCAACCTCAAGCAATCTTGACAGTGCTGACCTTTGAGAGACCCGAGAACCGAGAGTCCAGAAGGGAGGAAGCTATCATATGATATTAGCTGGGTTACAAAATTCACTTTTATTTTCCTCTGTCTGGCTATACACTGCTGACAGACACATGGTTTGCAGACAGTTATAGGTTGATAGTGGATCTTGCTTCTTAGCTCAGACAGTTTTATTTTGCCAATTCAATCATTTTTTAACAGAATGATGTACAGCAGAAAACAAAAAGTCAAGGGGGAGTTAAGGACCAGAGTGTAGGACTCATACTGCTTGCCTTCTAGGCAGTTTAGGAGAAACTACTGTGGCCACAAAACTAGCAAAAGCCAATGTTTGTGTTGTCCATACTTCCCATTTTTGCCAATAGATCCTTCTAAATGTTACACACAACACAGAGAAAATAGAAAGGCTACTGTGACGGATACACTAGCCTGTATGGCTAGCATGTTAGCTCACCAGATTGAGCAGTTTACCAACTATTCGAGCAGGTAGTCAGTACTTCCGTCCAGTGTTTTGATGGTGCTATTAAGAGATAAGAAATTTGACACTGAAGTATAGACACGCAGGAAAAGTCAACCTGTTGCTGTTAATCTCTCAACCTGCTGGAATACTCCTTGGTCCAAGGTTTGCTGCATGTCAGTTGATAATTTAAGAATATTTACACCATAATCCAGACACATGTACCCAGACAGAGGGGCTCCAACAACAGGGCCTCAGACAAAACACTTCACTAAGGCAACCCATCAGCCATGTCAGAGTTTTCTTTTGACCAATAACCAAGCGGAAAATGAACACGGAAATGACAAAAACAGCTTGAAGCTGGCTCCAGACTGAGTCAATCTCCATAAGGCCACATATTAAAATGCCCAACTTTATAGCAGAAATAAACAGGTTTACAGCCTGGTACGAAAAAGGTTTTCGTCTCCATAGCTAATTCACCTGTTCATGACAACTGTACGGGGGGCTATAGAGACTAAAACCCTACACAAATAGACATGTTGAAGGGAAACATAGAATAAAGGATGGATGGAGGGATGGGAGGGTGGGTACATACTTCTTGTTATGGCTGACTCAGTCTCCTGACACATCCCCAGGAAGTGGTAGTAAGACTCCATCTCAGAGGTGGAGATCCGTACGGTGGAATAGCCCTGTCCATATTTACCACATTTTGGACAGCGAGACAGGAGGGTCTGGGATTGCAGCCTGCTTACAGCATCCATCTCAGGTCCACCTAACCTCACCTGGGATGAGCTTGTGTGTATTTTCCTATCTACTATATCTTCCCTTCAAGCCTGCCCCATCGGCTCTGCAGCAGAGACAATGGAAAAATCCATGATTCCACGATGGTTCTGCTGTCTGTTACACACACACACACACACACACACCCACACACACTCAGTCTGTCCCCTGCAGCAATGCTACTGCAGCTGCCCTTGCATGTGTCCCAGTCCAGCAAGGTGCTTCTAATCTCACCGCTTCTCGCTCTGTCTTTCTCTCAGTCATAATCTCTGTATTAGAAAGTAAAGCCTATTACAGGACATTAGCATACGCCCGCCTTCCTGATTATCACAAACACAAACAACTACGACCTGCTGCAAGGGAGTGACTCCACACTTTCAACTCTGTCGACGCTCCCCCAGCACTATGGTGTTATTTTAAGCAGCACCTGGATTACAGTGATGCAGTCGATTCAGAGAAGCGTCAAGCCTTTGCAGCTTTTTCAGAATTCCTCACAGGAAGCTATTCACACTAGGGATGTCCGATAATAT